GCCGCGGTTTGCGTTGGTTAATGAGAAGCGGTCACAACTGGTTAATATAATTATTGTTGATGTACCCTAACGTGGCGCGGCCCCTAACGTGGCGCACTTTGATTTTTCGCCTGTAGCGCCTACCTAGAGCAAAAGTTCTAACTGAAATTTCTCAGAAAGTGAAATTTCATCAAGTTATAAACACTCCCGTTCATAAATCGCGAGTTTATTTACCCGCTACAAAGTTAAAAGAAAACATTATTTTGGCGTGATTTTCCGAGTTTATTTTCAAGTGCAAAGTGAACCCTTTGAAAATGCCCCGAAAAATAAGAAAATAATTTTGTGACAAACATCTGGCTGGGTATGCAAGTAGAGATAATAATGATTTATCAGAATTTATCAAGTTTTCAGAAATTCGTAAATGTTAATTTGGAATTTTCCGAGATTTATTTCAGTGGGGAACACTCCGCCAAATTGTGCCCAATTTCCGGACGCCACCGTTTTTTAATTTCGGCTTAAATTTTATGAAACCGACATTGTTCACAGCAAGCATTGATAAGGTATATTACGGAAACGTATTACCGCCACACATTTATTATTTTTTTTCCTGTACGTACGTGATAGTTTCACGTACGTACGTGATAGGTTTCACGTACGTACGTGATATGTTATAGGTTACACGTATACGTACATGATAAGTTTCACGTACGTACTTGATAAGTTTCACGTACGTACGCGATAAGTTTCACGTACGTACGCGATGAGTTTCACGTACGTACGTGAAAACTATCAGTATATCACGTGTTTTACTGCGTGCGTTTAGTTAGTCTGGTTCCCAGACCAAAAGATTCTGACTATTCCTGATGAATCTTAGGTCAGGCAGCCTCCGTGGCTAAAAATAAACATGACGACATTGATGGCCCTTTTTCAAAGCTCGGCTTCGTTTCCGATTTCGCTTTATCACGTTTAGCTTTTTAATGTTTTGATCAAACTTTAAGTTAATCACTTGCTTCGTAATATCATACAGTTATGATAATACAGTTTGATGTTTTTGTAAGATAACATTGACTGATGTTGATCTGGAATCTTCAAAATTAGGCACCCAAATAGCACTGTTAGCAGGCGGAGCCAAATGAAGACAGAGTTTTGGAAAATCTCAGTAATGGTCGTCAAATTCAAAATTGTACATGACGCAGCAAAAAGTTCGCCCATGCGATCCGATTATATATTTGATGCACAAAATCGTCGTTCAAGATTTCCAAATGAAAGCAATGAATATTAATTATCGACTCATTTAAAAAAAAAAAAATTAACAAGCAATTAGCAGTTAATTAAACCTATATTATATTCGGAAATACTCGGGCGCTATTTTGGTCACGTGACGTAAATTGTAATACAATGTATTACCGGAGGCCACCGGACCTAAGATTCATCGGGAATGAGCCAGAATCTTTTGGTCAGTGGGAACCAGACTAGCGTAGTTTCAGTTAGTCGCGGCATGTCAACTATCACGTACGTACGTGAAACTTATCATGTACGTACGTGAAACTTATCATGTACGTACAGTACGTGAAACTTATCATGTACGTACGTGAAACTTATCATGTACGTACGTGAAACTTATCATGTACGTACGTGAAACTATCACGTACGTACGTGGAAAAAAAATGTGTGGCGGTAATACGTTTCCGTAGTAAATGTACCAGTATTTCACGGCATGAATTTGAGGATTGTCAACAAAGAGGTTTGGCAACACTACACGAGGAAATTTGGGTAAGCTTCGAAGTGCGCCACGTTAGGGAACACGACGGACCACGTTGTAATGGCATATAGTTGTCTCTAGGCTCGGGGAAAGATATACGAAGTTCACTAATTTTCCTCTGTATTGACTAACAAGCCCCCAGATTGCAATTTCATGTCATCAAAGTCAATTTGAGCAGTGAGAAAATACAAGCATTTTCTTAGAAAACACTTAGAATTTTTCAGTCCAATCTCATTGAGCACCGTACACAGGGTGTTGAGTGAACTTCGTAAATGGAAATCTTTCCCTTCTTGGAGAACCAAGTCAATGCTGTCACCAAAGTATGCACAGTTTCTAATAATGTGCGCTTCCATGTACTATTCATCGGGTGATGATTGCCCTATCCGAGGACCGATTTCTCTTCTAAACTTACAAACTTATATTCAAATATTGGACCGAGCGAGCACAGATTATACACCGTCTGGGACTCTCCAAAGCTAAGCATGTTTCAAAGTGTGCTTCTGTATTTTCGACTTTCCTGCCTATTCTTTTCTCCTCATGATAGTCAGGTGGCTTAGACCCAATTTTTGATAAGATCGTGACCAACTGGTCCAAAGCACCAAACTTGGCAAGTATGTTGTTATAGCCTTAGAGAAGATATTTTGCAGGGGTGACCCTGAAATTCTTTTGGGAAGAGTGCCTAATTTGCTTATATCATTAATCCCTACCGTGTAATACATTTATTCCCACGTTTGAGTAATTTTTTTTTTTTGAAAAGTATATTTTGGGGATTCCACTTACACATCCTTACTTCAGTAACATGTTCTAAAACATTTAAGACTGACTGGATAATTATGAGGACATAGTAACGATTCAAAATGGCTACCATTATTCTCTAAAGTTGCGCTCAATAACCTTGCCTCTCCAGATATAATCAAATAGTCTTGCCAAATAGTATTGATGAGCTTCTAATTCACCAAGTTGCTTACTGGCACAGCTACTCGATTAAGACTTCATGGAAAATCATGTGGACAACAACATTGTGATATTTAGCCCAGAACACAAAAACGGGTAGCTTGATCAAGTCTTCCACGTCAGGCTTCAAGTAATTTTTAGCCCAATTTACAGACACCTCATTTGTTGTTTTTTGTGCGCTAAATATCAAGATTATATAATTTTTCACATGATTCCCATTTATTTTTGTTAGGATAACTGTGTCATTAAGTAACTTTGTGAATTTGAAGTTCATCTATACTGAGGTTTGGCAAACTACTTGATAATATCTGAGGGAAAAGGAAATGGATCTTTGTTATGTCCTCATAATCTTCAAGTATCCGATATTCTTTAGAAAATGTTATTTAAGTAAGAATATGTAAGTAAATTCCCAAAATATACTTTTCAAAAATAAAACATCTACCCAAATATGGGAATACATATATTACACGACAGGGATTAACGCTTTATGCAAATTAGGCACTCTTCCCAAAAGAATTTCAGGTGTCACCCCTTCTAAATATCTTCTCTGGGGCTATAAGAATCTATCTGCCAAGTTTGGTGCTTTGGAACAGTCGGTCACGATTCCAACCGTATGCAACCTGAATATTTGAAGTTGTCTTGAATTAATCAAAGAAGCTGAAGTTCTTGCAGACGCCGGGGCCACCAGAAATGCCTTATAAGACAAATTCACCAGGAAACAAGTGAAGACGACTGTTTTTAATACGAAATTGTAGTCTATTCATCCCCGTTGCCACTTTATAATACAAACAAGAAAAGAAAGAAAACACTGCACCCCTCCCATAAATGCGATCTAGCCCCGCCCCTCCACATAAGGAATTGGCAGCAACTGGCCTGTCGATGACCCCTTTCCTTATCCCCCAACAATAAATGCTTCTGGATCCATCAGTGATTTAGCTATCTAATCATTTTTTTCTAATAGTATGAAGTAAATTTGTGATTGGGTTGATATATTTTCTAAGGAATTTCTTTGGATATACTCATTACGAAGCCTGCATGCAACCGAAGTGGTGACCCAGCTGTAGAATTCAGAGGCGGGAGATTGGTCCATCACTGAGGGAGGAATGAAAGCATAACCAACAATCATCTAACCTCAAAGATTTCTCATTGATTGACTCTATTCATTGCATGCAATGATTTATTACACGATAATAATCATACAAAGTACACAATGTCAAATAACAATCCCGGACGTCTTAACTTTGCCCAAAATATCTGGAAAAACAAAAGAAGAGATCAGAAATGTTTCTGCACCAATAACAAATAATACAAATGACTTACAAATTCCAACATATCTCTACTCATAGTTAACCAATACACTTACTTCCGCCAAACGGTGCAAATATCAGATATTTAATTTTTATTTTCAAGGTAAGACAAGATAAGTTTGCGGTAGCACCGTGTGAATAAATCTCTTTTGTGAGTATGTGTGGTTCTGAAAAGAACCGGAGGGACTCATCGTTTCGAACAGTATGCTCTGCCCGTCGTCAGGAGAATGAGGGATTCCAACGATGATGCGATGTTATAAGGATGGGTGCGGTGAGGCGTGAGAAGGATGCAAACTAGTGAAGCTCGAAACCGGTGAAGCTGAGAAGGATGCAAGTTGACTGATTTATTCACATGGTACTACCGCAAACTTATCTTGTCTTAGTATCTTTCCACCATGCAAACCTTCAAATCTTATTTTCAAGTTAAATAAACAAATTGACTGTAGCAGGATGACCGTTCTGGATTAGGCCCTACTGTACTGGAACAGGAATCCGGAGGTCACAGGGTCAAACCAGCTCCAGTCAATTTCTTTGTTCAACTTTCACGTTATTATAATGCACCGAGTCAGTTCTCCTTTGTGGTTTATTTTTATGACAGAACCCAAACTATCCAGAAGTCAGCAGATTATCCTGACTTGGAGTCCGTGCCCGAGTGATGACCTTATCTTACAGAGTTGCACATTAATGATCACAAGATGAAAATCACAATGATGTAGTTTGTAAACCATGGCTTAAAGGCATAGGAACATTTGTATTTCATGCAATTTGTTCGTTTCCAATACATGTAATATCATCACTGTTCCACAGAAGAATACTCTCAATCTAACACGTTGAAGCTTTAGATATTATACTTTTTAAGAAAAGAGTGAAATATCCATGCACAAACTTTTGATCAATAAACACGATTTTGTCCATAGAACTTTTATTTCCAAAAATCAGTCAATTGACTTATCATTGGAAATCACATACATTTCTTGATTTCTTCTTAATGACAGCAAGCCAGATGGAATAATTTCACAGGGTGTTTAGTACCAGTACGATCTTTAATCCAAGTGAGCTTTTTGATTACAATTCGGTAGGTTACTTTTGGGATAAATGCAAATGATCCCATCCCATATCCCTTGAGATGTGTAAATTAATGAGTACAAAAATTCCCGTCATTTAAAATTGCAATCAGTTCAGCTTTGCAGTTACAGTGTGTAAATCTCATTTTAATCAAAATCTTCTTTCATGTGTCATGCCAGCAACAACAGTTAAACATTATTTGCATTCAGTTTACACTTCCAATGTGAATAAATCATAATGTTGATTCAAAGTATACTTTTTCTCTCCTGCAGAACTGCTTTTACCAAATAGAATGGTTGCATTTGGGCATGTTATAAACGACTGTTATCACCTGGGCAACTGCAAAATATCAAAACTGTTAGAAACAAAAGTGTCATTTTTGGTACGAGAAAATTGATCATACTTCGAACAAACAAATCTAGTGTCAATCAATACTTTGAAGAGGCTTGCAATGATAAAAACAATCAAATTGTCCACTTGTACCTATTTCAACATAATCAGAAACACAGAAACATTTTTGCGTGTACAACAAAATGCAACGATTGGTCCTGAATGAGCAAACATGACTGTCCTCTGACAAAAATGCATCATTTGGCAATGCAACATTCTACATGTATATATTATACATGAATTGTTTGACAGTATGAACACTGGTTTAGTAACTCTCAATATGGACATCGGCCTATAGTTGAATAGTAAACAAAATCCACGTTATACTGTCCTTACACAACTGGACCACTTTAAAGGTATATTACATAAACAGTCAAGGTTAAAGATCTATACAAAAGTTAGCAAACTGGAATCATAATTTTTGCCATTTTATGCATAATTTACATTAATTTACAGAAAGGATTTGATAAAGAATGAAGCACAAACACTCAAAAGAAACGTCTATTTGGAGGCACGTGAACTTGTCAGGATTTTTTTAATATGTACAAAACTGAGACAAATGCTATTCCGCCAAATGCGTCTCCTTTTTTGTTTAAATTTGAATGTAGTACTTCTGTTGGTAAAACGCAAAACAATTCAAAAGTAGCCGAGGTTTGGAGCATTATTGTGTATACTAAGTTTTGCACAGCACTGGTCTATGGAAGGGTGTCGTGCAGCCATTTGCGTGTGGTCACATTAATTTGTTTGAATGCCATATTACTACATTGATCAGATAACAGGGTAGGATGGAGGAGGCCTTTGTCACAAAAGTTGAAGACATCTCACGCAATTTTTACCTAAGATGATGCAATTCAAGATATTTTCTCCAAAGAAATGAAAAGGAGAGGTGGATTCTCCTGTTTAATTGACGATTAGATTGTAGATTTATAATAGTACTCATTGGTCACCCAAGATATTGATAGGATGTGTGGATGAGATGCCATGTGATTTGTATAACAGTTGTGAAATGGAGTAGGAGAATAAGATTGACACGTACTCCAAGAAACTAAAAAAAAATTCATACTTCTCAAAATAACTTCATACGTTGGACTCTGTGTTATGGTCACTGCTGGAAGTAGTTGGCACTTTATTGTAAGGCTGCATATTGGATGCACTATTGTCTCCATTAAGCTTCCTCTTTCGATACATCTGCATCAATATCAAAATCAAAAAGTTAGAGAGGCCTGATATATTTCGTCTTTAGCAAAGACTTCTTCAGAGGCAAATGATACATGGACAAGAAACAATCATGCGGGGAAATGCATACAGGCAGGGTTGAAAGGAGAAACACAAAGGAGGGATAGGGGGAGGTGGACAGTGGATGAAAGGAGATTAGGGATCAAATTTAGTGTGGTGGAAGTGGGGAACAAAAAAGCTGATTCAAAATGCCTTAAAAAACGTTATTTGGCAGTAGCTTACCCCATGACAAGGGCGAGACATTTGAGACCATTAAAGACCCCCCCCCTTTATATATTCTTAAACTTAAACACATCTCTCTATGCTGGCTTTTCCAAACAAATAAGGGTTTTTTTCTTCACATCTTCACATCCATTGAGTGGATTCCAGAGAAAATGTGTGTTATAAATACTGTATTATTATTATTATTAAAGGGTTTGAATTACAGGGGTTTGATTTGCTGAAACTGTTTGTGAAGTTACTTCTTACATTCGTTAGTACCCGCTTAAACTGCAAATATGCTAAATCTGCATTGATGCAACAGAGAAACATTCACAATCTATGAGAAATAGAGACTATAAGGTACCCTCAGTAACCTTCTCCGCAGCCAAACTGCGCAGAATTTGTTTTGCAATCTATACTTACATGTCCAGAGCAAACAAACACAATGACATTGAGGATGACTGAGATTGAAAACCCGACCCATAGCGCAATCAGAGGGACGCATAACTCATCAGGTTTGCTTGCAGTTGGTGGTACTTCGTTGGCCAAAACAAGCATTGTTCCTGAAGAGAAGCAAGAGGCAACCAGATATAATAGCCATTTGTGGTTGCGAATGCCTTAGCATCACTGTTGTTAGACAAAGTTAATCCGATATCGTACTTGGACGCTACAGACAGAGCAGTGAAATTCATGCACCCCAAAAACCATGGCTTTTTGAACGTTGTGTTTCTCAGAAAATATGCTCAGTATGATTGAAATGATACATAATAACAGAATAAGAAATTCTAAACTTCATGACAGAGAAAAATATTGCCGTTACTGGTTAGGGAGCGTCTCGTAAGTCGGGAACATTCGCAGTTCCAATGAAACGTGCCATGTTCGCAGTGGAACGCGGGAGCGTCATAGATCTTATATAGGACTATTGATATCATCTGACTTGATTCATTTGCAATCTAACTTGACTCAATTGATATCTGACTCGATCATGTGATAGAATCACTGAATTTCTTTTGTTCTACTACCCAATAAACCCCTTGTGCCGATATAGCACTTTATACCAACAGTCTCAAAGCGCTTTCAAATATTTACCCCTGTTTATCAGGCCATGAGACCAGCTATTGCAGCAGCTCAAGATCAGTGCATACTCATGGGTGGAGAGAGGCAATTGTAGTAAAGTGTCTTGCCAAAGCACACAAGCACCATGTTCCCAGTCAAGGTTCGATCCCATGTACCACAGCACGTGAGTCAAACAGTAACACTGTATAAACCATAGACTTCAGTGCTCCACAGCGCTTCGGGATGAGCAATCAAATCGTGTCATTTTCAATTCAAACAATATACTGATTGAGAGTTTATACTCTAAAAGGTGGCTCTGACATGACATTGCTACCTACCTGGATTGATAGAGGACTGAACTTCTTCGTAAGTTGCAGTTGTGAGGTGACTTTTGGTAAAGCGTACTTTCATGCGTGTGCCTTTGCCAACAACAACACCCATTGCCTCACACACGTATACTTCCTCATCATCAGCTACTGTCACTTGGACTGTTACTGAAGTTGAGTAGGTGTTCTTCTTCCTCAACGACCGCTCTGATTGATAGATTTCAAAACGATAGACAGATTTGAATAGATTTTGAAATTGACGAAACTGATTGAAAGAACGTACCACTCTAGTGTAACAGGAAAGAAAATTTGTCAGTAGGAAAGAGAGAGCTTTGTAAGGCTTGTATTTGGTCAAAGGACCTCAAAATAAGATCTCAAAACACCTTACGGCAAGCCTGGTACAGGGACTAACATCAGGACTGAAAGATCTGGAGGTATAGATACGGAAGCTTAAAGTGGCCATCCGTGATTCTGCCTTTCTGGGCTATGGAAACTTGTGTGGTAATAGTCCTCCGTATAGTGGGATATTATAAAAGACACTTCTTCCTTTCCTGAGAATATTATCAAAACAGTCAAAATCAAACAGCAATACATAACATGATGTTAAAAAGAGCACTGCTTACCAATTGTTGGGTAGGCATTGAGATCCCTCCATCCGCCCCAAAACACAAGGATCCACCTCAAATCCACAGCAGGTTTGACCTGCTCCATGACGCAGGTCAGGTTCTGCACTGTGCTGTCATTCCATACTCTTACCTGGCATGTTTCTGCATCATGAATGTCTGGATCACAGCCGATGATGGTAGGATATGGTTGATTTGGGGAAACTGTTGATAGGAAGAGTTGGGAAAGTAAACCATCAATGTGGCTGCAAACCCAAAAGAAAATTTAAATTTTTGGAGTGAGAAGGCCTTATTCTTGAGTTAGGGCCTGGAGCTAGCAGCCCATGACACCATCCTGTGGGAGCTGACTCATGGAAGTGCCAGGAGGGGGCGGATACGAGCCATGTACATTGACACGCTGCGACGGGATGTTGGTCTCAGTGACACAGGGGAGCTGAGGACCCTAATGCTGGATAGGGAAGAGTGGAGGGCACCAGATGGTGTAGGGTAGGCTGCATCCTCGCATTGCAATAATAAGTTACACAATTAATTTCTTAAACAAACAAGATTTTGTCTTTTGTTTGCATAGATCTACCAACGTTGCTATAGAGCACATGGTTATGTTTTTCCACTCATGTGGAAAGGAGCCCTGCTGATTTCCTTCGCCCTCATGCACATGGAATGAAAGCAATTTTTTAAAGTTTTTATTCTGTGCCCCAAAACCCCCACTTAGGCCAGAAAGTAATGCCCATGGCAATTTAAGGGGGTTATCTAAAGAAAAAAAGCGACAAATCCTGGACACATTGAGAGAAAATGACCCGATTATATGGACCCCTGTGTATTTTTAATAAACCTGCTTTCGCTTTTGGTCGTTAGGCCCATTTATGCTCATGCGTGCATAATTATAAATTTATTAGGAAAAAGGTTGCCAACGGTCTCGCAAAATTCCAAAAAGGGATGTCGTAAAAGGCACCCGGCAAAAAAGGCACTTGTTTAAAAACAAAAGGGCTGCACCTCTGCCCAGGGTACGTACTCATACATAGAGCGATTGTTTCTAGGTCTCCTCATAACTGGGTTCAGATCTTCAGTATTCCTGAGAGGAAAATTGTAAGTGGAAATCATGATTATCATACACTTACCCTTGTCACAAACTTCAACCTGTCCTGCTTCTACCATTTTCAAATACGGTTTCAGCTGAAAGTAGTAGGTTCCCTCATTGGAGGCGGTGACGTTCTTAACGACGAGATTGAACTCATTGTCGATATCATAGACACCCTCTGGGATCCCGTTTTGGGGAGCCACTCTTCCCAAGAAGTGCGAGATCAGCAGGGATGTCCTGCTGATTGAGCCATAGTACCAGTACATCGCTACGACAATTTCTGGGGAGAATTTGCTAGACTTGATCGGGGGACAGGGCACGATCCCACGTTGGCCTCGTTCCAAGAGCACCTTTCCATTGGTGTTCGCATGGCCGAATGCACCTAAACCAAATGAACGACAACAATTTCTGGTTTTGCTACATTGCCTAAAATCTACTCAAAGCAGCATTGCTCTTGCAGCGAAACGATTCCTTGACAGTTTTACTTTTTGCTGAAGTCAAGTTCTTTTTGACAACATTGTATTACTAATGATTGCAGTTACAGTGTCCAATCAATTTGGACTAAAACGCCGCTAGATTAGCCCTCATGGTCTTGTGTGAATTTTCATTTACAAGATTAGAGGAAAACATTGCAGCAGTTCACAAAGCATTTTGCAATGATGATTTCTACCCAGATGTAGTAAAGATTTCCCCAATGGTATTTGTCCGTTATTCACAGCCGGTTACATATAACCACATTGTTATTTCCTAATCAACCCCCAACAGTTTAGGACAATCAATTAAAATGCCAACTAAGATTTAATTTACACAATATATAATTCATGCATCGAGATAACACCATCTGTCCAGAAAATGAAACGTACCTGTAATGTATACCCTCGTGCGAGTTCCGTTACCTACTGCAACACCTATTGCCTCGCACACGCATTCTGCATCACCGTGTACTGAAGGAACTTGGATTGATGCTGAAGTTGAATAGGTGTTGTTCCTCATCGACGAACCTGATTGATAGATTTGCAATCCATCCATTAACTGAAAACATGTAGCTATTTGACACATGGGAATGCACTGTTCAAAGCCCACGTGTTTGAAACTAACAGACCCATGACGGACACAGGATTTTGTCAACAGGATCTTGATTTACCGACAAAAAAAAAAAAAAACGAACATTGGACGTGTTATTATTAAAAATGTATTAAATCATTCTATTTCAAAAAATAATTCTCTACAGCGGGCTATTTGTCAAGTAGTGGGATTAACTTAATGAGAGAAACTACTCTTTCGTTGTAAATAGCTGAAAAATTTTCCTTTAAATACTTTTGTGGTCTAAAGAGTATATTTAGCACATGCGCCTGCACTAGCTTTATTTCAAATCATATTCCCAGAAAGTGAAGGGAGTATCTACAATGGCTGATTATCTACTGAACAATACTCCAAATCTCAAGTTCTGCAACCATAGCAACCAACTTGTTCCACATATGCAGCGAAACCCGCTGTGTGGCCTTTGAGTTTTATGGGGCTAGGCGGAAACCAAGCTCCTTTCCCATTATTATCGGACCACCATTATTTAAAATTTGCCATTACCACCATTATTTAAAACGAGGAGCAAGTTCTTTCATTCCATGTCTTGAAAGTAAATAAATTTTATATTGCTTCAACAAAAGTTAGGCCTATTTAGAAAATGATACAATTTGGGGCATAAAACTCGAAAATAGCACGGAAAACAGAAACTTTAAAAAGATTGCTGCTTACCCGTGTAAGCCGGTAGAACTACAGGCCTTACTGCTGTAGAGGCCTTGAGTTCCAAAAACCTGTCCCTAAACACATGGATCCACCTCAATTCCACGGCAGGTTTGACCTGCTCCATGACGCAGGTCAGGGTGCGCACCGTGCTGTCGTGTCGTACTCTCACCTCGCACGTGTCTGCGTCGTGGTCTTGATTGCAGCCGATGACAGTAGGATATGGATGTCTTGGGGAGACTGTTGGTAAATGTAATGGACACCATTTTATTGGTTTTGCCGAAAAAAAGAACAAACAATACAATAAACCGAAACAGCTTACTTAAAAAACAAAAATAAGCTGCCCAGATTTCAGCCGAGTAGATATACTTCTGGAGAAAAGACACCTTCATTATTACCTCCGCCAAGGAGGTTATGTTTCCATCTGCGTTGGTTTGTTGGGGTGTTAGGTTTGTTTGTTTGTTTGTTTGTTGGTTGGTTAATTGGTTGGTTTGTCTGTGGACAAGGTAACTCAAACAGTTGTGGATGGATTTGCATGACATTTTGAGTAGGGGTGGTCCTTGGTACAAGTACGAATAGATTAGATTTGGGAATCTGGGTGCGGATCCAGGATATTTTTTTTAAGGATTCTCGACCACACTTGTGCAGAAAAGATTGTCTATATACATGTACGTACACGTGTGTGGGTAACACAGTGTGCAGTGTACATGTTTATGAGTACATAGCGCACACACCATATGGACTGCACCATTTGATACCGGTGGCCTCTGCAGAAGGTCGCACACAGTTAAAGTTAAAGAGGCAGTCACTACAGTGTAAAAGAATTAGTAAAAAAACCAAACTTATGTAATATTTCATGATGGTTTACAATTTGGAAGTCCATGGATATGCGAGTATTTCTTTAGGGTGTACTGACAATATGGCGGGGAATTGCTTAGCCTTGGCGGATGTTTGCACTCTCTGAGTGCTTTCTAGTTCTAGATGCAATCGTGCAACTGAGCGAGGTTTCCGTGGCAAGCCCTCCCTATTATGTGCATTTACATACGTTTTTCACTTGCACCCTCTTGTGATAAGATCCCTAATTCACCTATAACCGATGCAATATTTGTTACTGAGAAGCTTCATGAAATTGGGGAATCCAGTGAGCATGGTGAAGATCAAAATGTTGGAATTTTCTTTGTAAAAGCTTCATATAGCTGTTGTAGTAATGAGGAGACAATGGAATTCCACTTTTACTTTTGCAATTGAATTTGCAAAACGCTTAAAAGTAAAATTTGAAGCAAAAAAGTACATTAAAATCACAAAACAGGACTCACCCTTGTCACAAACTTCAATCTGTCCCTCTTTCATGCTTAATAAATGCGGTTTAAGCTTAAAGTAGTAGGTTCCCTCCTTGGAGGCGGTGACGTTCTCAATGACGAGATTGAACTCATTGTCGATATCATAGACGCCCTCTGGGATCCCGTTTTGGGGAGCCACTCTTCCCAAGAAGTACGAGATGAGGATGGATGTGTCACTTGTTGAGCCAAAGTACCAGTACATTGCGTCGACGTCTTCTGGTTGCGGCAGGGGACAGGGCACGATCCCACGTTGGCCTCGTTCTAAAAACATGGTTCCATCAGTGATCACTACGACAAATGTACCTACAAAAAATGAAGGACAATGATTTCTGCTTTTACTACTGTAAAACAAGTTGGGTAAAACACTGTTGGGCACAATGATGTTATTTACCCACATTGGTGTGAAGTTGTGTCATTGTTGGTTCTGGTAAATATTGACCAACTATTGGGAAGAATTTGCCCAAGAGTGTCAGCATGTGGTATGTTGACCAACATTGGTCTATATTCAACCAATTTGCACAACATATTTTGAGTTTACATTGCCTGAGAAATCGAAGTCAAATTCGTTCTGACAACATTGTATTGCCCGTGATTAGGTATAGTAATTTAAAGTAAACAAAAGTCCAATCAAATATTTGCTAAAATTTTGACTGAAAGTCAAAACTCTGCCAAAATTGCCCTCATGACTATGTGTGGACGCATTAAAGGAAATCCATTGTAGCAGTCTACAAAGTGTGGCTCAATGATTTCTCCCCCCGAGATGTACCGGTAGTCTGCATTTCCCAAATGGTATTTGCCTGTAGTTCACAGCTGGTTTAATTATTTACCACATAGGAAATTCCCGTCCAACCCCAAAGCAGTTCAGGACTTTAATAATCAATTTACCTGTAATTTGGTAAAAAGATTGAATTTACAGAGTTTACAACAATCCTGCATCTCCATCACAACATAAGTCCACAAAAGAATATATATTTTTGTAGTTACCGTACAGCAATGAAAAAGGCACCCACTGAAGTCCTACTCGCCTCATCAGTTCTGCCGTCACTATAATGAAAAAAAAGATGCAAACATCACATTAATTTTGTCGTAGATCTTTTTCCCAATCACTGCCAATACTTATTTTTATACATGATACGCTATAAATAAGAAAGGATGGTATGTTATGTACATGTATATAGTATAAATTGAAGACACATCAAGTAATTAACGACAGGAGTCTAGTCGAGGCAACCTCGATTAGAAAGAGTTTGGTTTTGGTTGCAAAAGGGTTATTAAAACAAAAGATTGATAATGAGGAACAATAGAAAATCCTTGATTTTTTCAGCATACATGTAAACAAACCTGGGTGTGTGGGCACGTTTGTCTGGGCGAATTTGCTTGTGAGTGGGGTGTTCACGAGTTGTTCACGAGTTGCTCGACCACGCGCCTCGCCCGCGCCTCGCCCGAGTAGCGGGACAAGGAAATGCCTCGTTGTAAAATACTAGTACCTTCAAGGCTTGATGTTCATCTGTCTCGAAACCTATACAAATTTCAAACGAGCAGCAAAGCTTAGACTTTTGAGTTAATCTATTGTGTAACATTCAGGACCTTTTTACTTTACATCCTTGTCACAGGGGTGTGAGTAAATAGCTGAAAACAGTTGAAAAAGGTGTAAAAAAAAACTGAACTTTGGTGGAAATCTCCTATACTTCTGTACACAGCAAGTGAGGGAAAACAGCTGAAACCCAAAACAAAAAAAAGCTTAAATTAGCTCTGAAGCTGAGATTCCACACCCCTGTTGTCATGAATAAATGCGATTTGATATCCACATCTTTTCTTTATAAATCTGCCAGGGATGCAGAGATACAAGTTTTTCTGAAATTGTCTGTTGTAGCTTTTATTCCAAATTACAAATAACGCATTGGCACCATCACGAAGGGCTAACGGACAAGAATGTAAGAAATGACAATTTCTTCAATTTGTTAACTCCTAATTTGGTTTAAAACATCATACAATGTACTTTAACATGCTGACATGCTTCCGAAAGCAAAACATCATTAATTCATACATTACATTAATGAGGCCAGGGCATGCATCTCTATAATTGCATTTTGCGTTTTCAAAATGAGACGCGAACATGCCTGCCCCTTGAATATGTACAAAACATAATGCAAGGGCATACGTAAAAGTAGGTCAACTGAGATGTTTGTTTTCACGAAGGGAAAGGCATCTTTGTTACATTCTCAGCTGCGCGTGCGTAATCAGGGTCCCGAATGGTGTCATCCTCAACACAGTCAAAGCCAAACCACTCATCAACGAGGTGCACCGGAGGCAGTTGAACTACTTACATGTAGGTCACACCTTGTGCATGAACCAGACAGAGCCTACACATATATATGCACTGTACACAACCAAGGAGGGAAAGAGACGTCCAGGGCGGCAACGCACCTCCTATCTACAGTTTGTGCAGTCCATCATGGGGGACCATGATGGTTCCGTCACAGCCATCATCATTGAGGATCAAGCCCAACAGAGACCTGCATGGCGACAACTGGTAGTCGACTGCTGCGCAGCCCACCGATGATGATGATGAATCATGCGCCCCTTTTCTATGAAAAAACACATTGAACAGAAGAAAAGGTGTAAATGTAGGAAAACTTAGATTGTCGTTTTCACGAAGAGATGGGCATCTTTACCGATTAATTTTGGCTAATTAACCACAGTATTAATTCTAGTTACTGGGTTCACATAAGGTTTACCCCTCAAAGAATCACGTGGTCAAAGGTTTCCTTGATACTGCACAAAGTTGTTGCAAAGTAGTAGTTTTTGCAGTTTTAAATATGAGAAATTCTATTGTGAAGTCTTAAAGTATCAGTCTACTTACATTCCTGTATAAAACTCTTATTTTTCATTATGTTACACATTGTATTTCCTCTCTTTCATTTCAACTCTTTACAGATATGGATTAATGTATCCACCAACTAGCATACAATTAAATGTGAAAGATATACAAGGTAATTAGAGCATTTAGTCCTGCTTACTGGACTATAAGTCCTGGTTATTGTCAAAATGGTATTGTTAAGAGGTGTGCTAGTGTTTGACTTAACCCTAAAAGTTACAGACCCACCTGCAGGTTGAGTGCCTGCAGTGAATCTAGTTGGTAAATAAATTGGTTGGTAAACATAAATATTGCGTACAGTGAAATGGACCAAACTTGGCAGATAGATTCTTATAGCCCAAAAGAAGATATTTTAAAGGGGCGACACCGAAATTCTTTTTTGCATAAATCGTTAATCCCTGCCGTGTAATATATTTATTCCCATATTCTGGTATATTTTTATTTTATAATTTTTTGAAAAGTGTATTTTGGTGATTCTTCTTACTTCAATAACATTTTCTAAAGCATATAAGTGACTGAATAATTAGGAGGACATAGTAAAGAACCAAAATTGCTACTATTTACCCTACAGTTGCGCGCACCAAAGAAATAATTCTTTGGTACTGTGTGTGAGAACTTTCTACTGTGTTTTTAAGAGAAAAGATACGAAGTTATCTAACAGGATGCATTTTGGAAATTCAATATGGCCGCTAATGACACAAAGAAAATAATTTTTGAAAGTCTGAATTGATGTAATTTAGTATTTGCATTAGTAATTCTACCGTACGATTACACCTGAATAAATTTCAATTCAATTTGTGCAAGGCAAAATAAGCTCAAAAATTATCAACCGTCGCGATAACCGTGCATTCCCAAAGTGTTGAGTTGATAGGTGAAACTGTTTATTGCTAAAGAGCCTGTGACAAATTTGAAGGAAAATGATAGAAATTGTGCTACTGAAATCAATAAACACCCATGCCAATAAATGCAGTGCAGTTAAATAACGTTATCTGAAAAAAGGGCAAAAAAAAGCCAGCTGAAATTGTTTTTCAACTTTCAAAATATTGATATGTCTAAAAATGTGTCTAAATCTCCCCATCCACCCTTTCACCCACCATTAAGGATAGTGATAATCAGTGATAAAAAAATCACTGGAGTTCATCTACACGTAGCTGAGATACGTAGTATGTGGATATGAATGAAAAATGAGATTTATGGTAAGTGAACATGGTATAAAAAAATACGAGTACAGTTCTCCATGAGCATGTTTATTTCATAACAATGCTTCTAATTTCAAATCAGGCAGCACTGATCCTTGTGTAACTTGTGGAGAACACAAATCAGGCCTTGCACCTTTAAATTAAATTCAATTTCACTTATTCTCATCATGTAAAACATGAAAAGGCATTATATAAATCTCAATCTAAATTTTTAAGGAGAAACATTAGGAATAAGACTATCAATTGGGACTTTAATACACCTTTAGATGGTTCAGGTTACCCTACATAAGCACAATTTATTTACAACATTACTGTAAACAGATCGAGGAATGATTAAAGCAAAAGTGAGTGTGCTGTCTTTAAAATTCAAGCTTCAAAGAAAAATTTGGGTAATTATGCAAAACCTACAAGTTGAGTCGATGCTGATGAAGGGGTGTTCAAATGTGTTAACATTTAACACCTTGTAATTAAGTGGAATAAATTGATTTAAATGAATAAAATGACCCTCAATCACGTTATTTTACCAAAAATAAGGTTTTTCAAAAAGTGATTTAAATCAGTGATTTTTATAAAACAATAGTTATATTGGCCAACCCTGTGAAATTCAATTAATCTATGTGTATGCATGTGACTGAAGAAGATAGAATTTAGAAACCCCAGGTCCTGACGGGCTTAATTACTGATTTGATAAGCAACCATGAAAAAACTAGAAATGTGTTTGTGGACAAACACTGAGCTGTTTTGACCAGTTTATTAATGACTGCTGTAAAGGAGTTTCATCCAAGTGGAATGAACATGTACATGCGTATGCTATACACAAAGTGTCCATCCTATGTAAAAAAAAAAAAAAAAAACATTTTCCATGACGTCATAATGACGTCACACATTTTTTTGAAATTTTCTGTATCTATCTACGACCTAACAAACCTTTCGCAAAAAGAATTTCGAATTAACCACGTTCCATTGATGATATATGAGTAAAAGTTAAAAAATAATTGAATAATTTATATAAAATCACATGATGACATCATCGTGACGTCACTGCAATTTTTGTCTTTAACACTTTCTGGAATATCTGCATACCGAGATTGAACCTAATCGGACCTCCGGTTCTCTAGATATAGGGACTTAAACTATGCAGTTTTAGGATGACGTCATGTGACACATGATGACGTTATGATGACGTCATGATTCGGCCTGTTTTCCAGGTTTGGAGTCGATCGGACCATATTTTATATAATTTTTGCAAAATTTGAAGAAAATATTAAAATTAATAAAAAATCAGATGATGACGTCACTTCAGATTTTGAATACTTTTATCTATACCTATCTACCCACCAAGTTTCATAACGATCAGACATACCCTTATATGTGAATCAAAAAATCACGTTTTTGATAACATCATGATGACGTCACACATTTTATAAAATTTTGTGCATCTATCTTTCACCTAACAAACATGTTACAAAAGGAATTTTGAATTTATCATGTTCCGTTTACATGTATGAGATATGAGTAAAAGGTCCAAAAATTGAATAATTTATATAATCACATGAGGAAGTCATCATGACGTCACTGCAATTTTTGTCTGTAACACGTCCCGGAATACTTGCATACAACGTTTGAACCCAATTGGACTTCCGGTTCTGTAGATATAGGGCCTTAAAGTATGCACTTTTAGGATGACGTCATGTGACACGTGATGACGTCATGATGACGTCATGATTTGGCATACATTTTCAGATGGTGGTCTAAGTGTGTGTCAGGTTTGAAGTCAGATATTCTCGGAAATGGAGCCCCTTTAAGTGGCTAATTTCGGCATAAGACCTCACGGGAATAAGCCCATAACGAAAATGAAGAGTGCCCAGGAAGGTGATACTCAGGATGATGACATAAAAATATGTTTTATTTGTAGATATTCTTTCAAAGACAGCGTTTGTTAGGAAACCCAAAATACTGCATTTCGAGATATTCTCGAAAACGGAGCCTCGTTAAGTGGCTTATTAGAGCAGAAAACCTCATTGGAATGAGCCGATACTGAAATAACGTGTGCCCTAGCTGGTGAGTGATGATTAGGAAGATGAAATAAAAATATAAATTATTTCAACGTGTGCGGTACACTTTCTTTCAAAGACGACGTTTTATAGGATACCCAAAATACTGCATTTCGAGATGCAGGTTTTGTATTCTCAAAAACGGAGCCCTTTAAGCGGCTTATTAAAGCAGAATGCCTAATTATAATAAGTCTTTACTGAGATTATTGTACCCTGGAAGACAATAACTATGTGATTATGAAAAAAACTGATTGTTTTTAAAACAATTGCTGTCTTACATAAATGAATGAATGAATGAATAAATAGTGTTGTTCGTTGTTAGTTCGCATTCACAGTTTTGTTTTCCTATTATTTTGTTGCGTCCATTCGAGATATTTTCCTTTATAATTACTTTATTTATTAGGCAACTGTATATTATTAAAACATTATAGCAAGTACATGTACTTGGATTTGAAAGTGGGGTTTGTAGAACATACACATTTCTTTGAAAATGCGCGTAGTGTTGTAAAGAAGTGACAAATATGCA